AGGAGGCAAGACTTGATTTTGAGGGAGGAGGTTTTGAAGGGTTTAGACAGGGCCATGACATGATCAGACTGGTGTTTTTGAAAGCTTACTCTGGTTTCTGGGTGCAGAAACAGTAGGAAGCAGGCACAAATAAACACAGGAAGAAAGTCAGGAGGCTATTGCAGTGAGCCAGGTGAGAGATAATGGTGATGTAGACCAGAAAGGTAGCAGTGGGGATAACAGGAACTGTTGGGTTTGAGATGTATTTTGGAGGTTGAGCCAACAGGACATACAGGTGGATTGGAAAGATACCTCCCAGTTTCTTACTTGAACAATTGGGGGATTGGTAGTGCTGTTCATGAAGACGGGTTTATTGAGGGAAGGTGGAAGGTGGGAGATGAGTTCAGTGCCATGGTGAGTGAGCTTCCAAGAAGACATGTTCTGTAGCCAGTTGGTCATCTAGGTCTGAAACTCAGGAGAGAAGATGAGGCTAAAGAAAGAATTGTGAGACCTTGGGAGCGATTAGATAGCCCAAAGGGAGTGGAGGATGCCATGTTTTGTGCAGCAGCACTGTCCTATGAAAAGATTCCCTATGCTTTGGTTCTTGCTTCAGCCTAAAACCTGGGAGGCAGGTTTAGAAGGCACTCATCAAAGACTTTGCAATTTAGTGCAAAGACCTTCGGGATAGTCCTAACTCTTTGCTCCATCTTTATCCCCATTTCCTGTAATTTTCACAGCATCTTGGGCTGACTTGACCAGTTTCTAATAAGGATTTGTCCTGCCCAGGGACCAGGCCAACTGCCATTCTTAGGAAATACAGTTTCTAACCCCCTCTGCTGGCAGAACTTGAACATGACTCAAGATTGGGTGCAGAGCTGGAGAAAGCACCCTACCTCCTGCTTTCCCTGGGACAGACCCTTCCCACCCCAAAGGAGGGGATTAAGGCCTCAGGCCCAGTCCCTTTCTCCACCTTCCCCCAACACTCCACCCACTTTAGACCTCTAGATAGAAATAGGGAGAGGAAAGCTTAATTAGGTACTGGGAAGCAAATTAAAGTTTTCCTGTTTCCAAATCACTTTCTTTTCTTTTTTGCCCCAAACCCACTCTTGATCTCCTTGGCCATGAAGACTTAATTTGGTTATTTATACCTATCTCCAAAAACACTCTCTCCCTATCTCAGTCTCCAAGAGTAGCATTTTGCTGACACCAGTTGGCCTTCCTCCTCCTCATATACAGGAAAGCAATGGATTATGCTGAAAAGAGCACTGGGGTGAGAGTCAAGGAACCTAGGTTTCAGTCCTGTTTCTGCCACTGGGTCAGTCACTTCCTACTTTCCCAGTGGCAGTTATCTCACTTGTGACATTGGACTGGACTCCAAAAGACCGTTCGAACTCTAGCGTTCTAGGCTTTGCTCCAACCACCTTTAGCCTTTTCAGTTCTTCACATGCATCAAGCTCTCTCCTGCCTAAGGGTCTTTGGTCATGCTCTTGCCTCTGCCTAAAATGCTCTTCCCTTCCCTTTTATGTTTAGTTAACTCCTTATCCTTCAGCTCTCAGCTCATATGCTACTTCCTCAGAGAAACCTTTCCCAGGCCTGCCAAACTGGGTCAGGTACCTCATCATATGCTCTCAGAACTCCCTGGAGTTTTCCTTGTGTGCCCTCATCATGGTTTGTAATTTTTCACATGCTTATATGATTATTGTTTCAAGTCAACTCTCCCCCACCATAAACTCCTTGATAGCAAGGACCTGTCTGTTTTGCTCACCACTGTACCACAGCATCCAGATCCTTGTTTGACCATCTTGTAAAGCTCAACACATATTTATTAAATAAATGAAAAAGTGAATCCAACCTTCCGCTATCAGCTGCTTTCTATATCTAACTAGCACACTATTTAAGAGCAAAAAGTCAAAATCCAAACTGCCTGGGTTTGGACCCCAGCTTTATCACTCACAAGCTGTGTAAACTTGTGTAACTTGTTCAATCTTTCTGAGCCTCAGTTTCCTTATCTATAAAGGGAGGATAATAATAATATACACTACCTAACAAGGCTGTTGTGAGGATTAAAAGACTTAATATTTATAAAGTGTGTAGAACAAGGCCTGGCATTGAAGTGCTATATTAGTAATAGCTATTGTTCTTATTCTGCCTCATCCATTTCTCCACTTACCTATTCTGAACTCTCCCACAAGACCTTATTATCTTATTTCCGGTGTGTGAGTGGGTGACTCAGTGTAATTTGCAGAAGAGATGGCAAAGGTGTGTTGTTGTTGTTTTTAATTTATAATGGAAAAATTTTAAACATGCAGAGTAGTAGAGAGAAGAGGATAATGAACCTCTGTAACAAGCTTCAACAATTATCAATATTTTGCCGATATATGTTCATCTGCTCCCCTCTCATTTTTTCCCTACTGGTGCATTTTAATGTAAATCTCAGATGTCATTTTATCTGAAAATACTCCATTATGTATCTCTAGCAGATAAGGACTTTAAAAAAAATACAGCAATATCATTAAAACACTTAAAAATTAACAATAATTAGGGAATGCTTTTAAAACTCTATTCCCTTGAGAAGCTGAGTGAATGAGAGCCCTCACTTTGGGGTATATATGAAATGAGGAACAGCCAGGAAGAGTTAATATAAGTAAAAGTGCTTTAAACAGGGCCTGAGAACATAAATGGGATACAGTAGTAACTATTATTTTGATTCTCTTTCATTCCCCCCATTTATCTACTCTAAATCTTCCCCAACTTCTCTCTTATTTCTGGTCTATGAATGTGTGTGACCATTTATAAAGGAGGACTAGGTGTTGAGTTTCCTGGGTCATTGGCACCCTGGAGTGGGAGCTGGGACTCCAGAATGCACTGAAAAGGGCAAAGACTGAAGTACTGAGGTGGAGGGAGGGAGAAGGGGGAGTTCTGCGGCTGTGTGAAAATGGCACCTGAGAAAAATCCAATAGCCTAAGGGCAAGCAAGCCAAGCCAAGGGTTGGTCCTTTCTTCCCAGTGATTAGGGCCTTTGGGGATCACTGCCCATTGGGAAGCAGGAATGTGGTAGCTCTACTCCTGGGGGACTTCCTTTTAGCTTTTTTCCACAGACCACAGAAGGGCAGCTGCCTAAGACAGCAATTGGGGTTCTGTTTTTCCTTCATCTTGAGTTCTCAACAGTTCCAAGGATATAAGTGATGAGCTAAAGCACAACTAGAGACTGCCTTCCCCAGACTTGAGATAAAGATTGTTGTGCTCCTGTCTCTCTTTTCCCTTCTGTGGAATTCTCTCCACTAGCCCTTCTTACCACACTCATCTTTTGGGTACCCAGGGCACCTGCACACTTGACCCACCTCAGTCCAAAATTGCCTCCAGGAAAAGAAGTGATTCAAACACTTTAGCAGGGTAAACAAACTCCTTCCAAACTGGCCTCCAATTACCTCATTAACTTCATTTCACATTACTTCCTTCTTCTTTTCAGTAGGCAGTGGGTTACAGTAAATGAGCACAGACCTGTGTCCATATAGAGCTGGTATTTAATTCTGACTCTACCATTTCCCAGCTCTAGAAACTTAAGCAAAGCCACCTTTTTTCTGAGCCTCCGTTTTCATGTTGGAAAAATGGTGATAGTAGTAGTATATTAAAAGCCTTCTTAAGAGAAGATCTAAAGCCATATGAACACATGACTTTAAGTCATATAAACCAGGAAAATAGCCCTTCTTCTGAAAGATCCCTTTTAAACGCCTAACGGTCTATGAAATTTACAAAAAGCTTAAAATCCTCTGGACATGTGGTAGACATATGACTGGGCCAATAGGTGCGTTTTCAAATACTGTTCATTGTGCCTTGAGGAATCATGTCATGTTCTTACCAGTATATGAGCTAGGGCAGTTTTTGTTGTCTCACAAATTATTTACACTGCCTAAGCAAGCCATTAACTCAACCACCACGTTCCCGAACCCCTAAGCTCTGTCTTCGAAAATATGACTGCATCACAGTTGGAGATTCTGAAGAAATGGTGACTATAAGGACAGCACTACTTATTTCTTAAATGAGAGCTTTGGCTTGGTTCTTTTTGTTGTTTATCAGTATGCTCATTTTATTGATTGATTTCAGAGAGAGGAAAGGAGACGGGGAGGGGGAGAGAGAGAGAGAGAGAGAGAGAGAGAG